TGTGGCACTGTTTACAAGAGCAAAGACCTGGAACCTACCCAAATGCCCATCAACGATAGACTGGACAAAGAAAATAAACACCACAGAATACTACATGTCCGTAAAAATTGATGAGTTTGTGTCCTTTGTAGGGACATGGATGAATCTGGAAACCATCATTCTCAGCAATCTGACAAGAACAGAGAATCAAACACCACATTTTCTCATTCATAGCTGAGTGTCGAACAATGAGAAGACATGAACACAGGGAGAGATACATCACACACTGGGGTCTGTTGGGGGAGACTAGAGGAGGGACAGCGGGGGATAGGGAGGTTGGGATGGGATAACAAGGGGAGAAATGCCAGATACAGGTGAAGGGGGGATGGAGGCAGCAAACCACATTGCCACATATATACCTAGGCAACAATCCTGCATGATCTACACTTGTATCACGGGACCTAAAGTACAATAAGACAAAATTGCTTAGAAGAGGGAGTCTTTTGGGATTTGCTCAAATGGAAATATGGCATTTGTAATTAATGTGTCATGTGTTTTACAGGCCTTGAATTTATTCTCTTATGTCATTTTAATACTGCCTCTGGTGATCTTTTTATACTTTGATTTATTTCTGTCCAAAATATGTCAGATCCTACATTGATAACACTTGAATAAAAAGGGTTTTGTTGCCCACAGGGCAAAAAAAAAAAACAGCAGCCCACCAGGGACTTACGAAGCCCCTACCTTCCTGGGACAGAGCACATGGGAAAATGGGCAGTTGTGGGTTCCACTTCAGCAGACTTAAATGTTCCTGCCAAGCAGCCCTGAAGGGAGTAACTGATCCCCTAGCACAGTGCTTGAGCTCCCTTAAGGGACAGGCTGCCTCCTCAAGTGAATCCATGACCCGCCCCCCACCATTTATCCTAACTGAGATACACATACACGTCATACAGGAGAGCTCTGGCTGTCATCTGGCAGGTACTGTTTTGGGATGAAATGACCAGAGGAAGAAAGAAGCAGCAATCTTTGCTATTCTGCAGCCCCTGTGGGTGATTCCTAGGTAAGCAGGGTCTGAAGTGCGCCTCCAGCAAACTCCAGCAGACCTGCCGCAGAGGGGCCTGACTGTTAGAAGGAAAACTAACAAATAGAAAGAAACAGCTTCAACATCAACAGGAAGGAGGTCCACTCAGTAACTCCACCCAAAAGTTACCAACTTCGAAGATCAAAGGTACATAAATCCATGAAGATGGGAAGGAACCAGCGCAAAAAGCCTGAAATCACCAAAAGCCAAACTGTCTCTTCTCCTCCAGGGTATCACAACCCCTCACCAGCAAGGGAACACAATTCAATGGAGAATGAATTTGACGAACTGACAGAAGCAGGCTTCAGAAGCTGGGTAAAAAATTTCTCTGAGCTAAAGGGGCATTTTCTTTCTTTCTTTTTTTTTTTAGATGGAGTTTCACTCTTGTTACCCAGGCTGGAGTGCAACAGCGTGATCTCGGCTCACCGCAAACTCAGCCTCCTGCGTTCAAGCAATTCTCCTTCCTCACCCTCCCAAGTAGCTGGGACTACAGGTGTTTTCTAACTGATTGCAAGGAAAGTAAGAACCTTGAGAAAGGTTAGATGAAATGCTAACGAGAATACCCAGAGTGGAGAAGAACATAAATGACATGATGGAGCTGAAAAACACAGCATGAGAACTTCTTGAAGCATACACAAATTTCAGTAGCTGAATCAACCAAGCAGAAGAAAGTATATCAG